ACTAACATTGGCATCTGTTGGCAATTTCAGCAGAAAGATAATAGCTGTAAAGTGTAAAACACTTTCTTACCCTTTGAGGTGGTCCTTCTGTCAGAGCTTAAGAATCTTGATGGAGCAGTGTGAAGGGAATGTGTGCTGCCACTACGAGATGCATCTTAGACAGCTCTGAAGACTGAATTACCTATCTGGCACATTTCATGAGCACTAGATTCCTCATTACCTTCCCCAAGGATGTGTGAAAGTGCTGAGAGATTCAGAAAGATACGAAGTTAACAATGGAAGAAAAGATGAAGGAAATGTTGTCACTGTTTCAGAGGTTTCTTTTTGTTAGATTCCTGTTTTTGGTTTTCCCTGAAGAAATGATGAACAAGTAGCTCTTTTTATAGGCTTCTACTTAGCAGCTGATCCTAAAGAGATGAACAGGAAACAGCGGACTGCATCTTATACACATGTGGTTACTGCTATTTAGATAAGTTCCTAGACTGGACCACTAAACTGGAATTATCTGTGGGCAAGATGGTTTACTATGTCTGCACTGCAGAGACTTGTGGCTAAATTAAATGTTGAGCAGACAGTTGTGCAACTTGCTTTGGTGGCAAGAAAACTAACTTGTATGTATTGCAATGTATGCCAACATTTGCTACAGTAGATTGTCCTTTAGCAATGCATTTTACATAAAAAAAAAACCAAACTGCAAATGATCTTGATGATGTTCTGTGGAGATTTTTAAAACACTCTAACTTTGCCAGATGACAACCAATCTTCACCAGGATATAGAGAAAGATGCACATTTGTGATGCAGGTGCGGAGCTTCAGTCTGCTAACCTAAATTGAGGGTGCAGTGTTGGTCAAAATTAGTCCCAATAAGGATTTTTTTTCCTTCATATTTCTAAAACATGTTGGTGAAAAGATTTGACTCTTTGTATGCCTGAGAGCTTTTCAGAGAGCCACATTCCTCTCCCTGATCCTTACCCAGACCTATTAAATAAGTGATATGAGGATTAGAAATAGGAAATCTAGAGCTGTAAAAGAATATCCCTTGAACATGGGTTTTGTCATCTGTAGTAGATAGGAAGTCTTTTATTGGGAACTTTTGTTTTACACTTGCTAACAAACAAATATATATGACCAAATGTCCTACAAGGAGTAAACTGAATAATGGCTAGTAAGGGTGAAGGAAAATTAATTTGGAAGATGGAATTAAGAAAATTACCCTTTGTCAGAATCTTTTTCTCATTTCCCACAATCATATTGCCACTTGAGAAGGAATGATCTCATATTGCATTGTCTAAGAGCTGCTGGTGCAAAAGTGAGGGAAGTGACCAATGTGTATTCAAAAATATTTATATTCTGAACACTTTTTCCTTATTACACTTTTGATTTTTGCAAAAGTCTAAAAAACTTCTGCAAATCTTCTTGAACCCACCATATGTTAGAGTTCCACCACAGCTATGTAATTGCTGGGTTTCCCTATCGCACTGTCACCTATAGAAATAGTCCCTATCATACAATGCGCTTCATTTTAGAATAGTGATTCAGTAGCCAATTTGAGATTTACAAGCTCCAAATAGAGTGATGTAGAGAAAGTATATATATTTTGTCCAAATCTGCATTTCAGAACAACTAAAATCTGCTCTCCATTCTGAAAGGCCGGTTGCCTCAAACAGCAACGACATTAAAAGGCCTATAGTAGATCTGACTCTTCAACAAACATTTATTCTTCTGTTTGAGAACACAACAATGTTATGTGACAGTAGACTTGCTTTTAACTTCCTAAATACAATGAATGGTGTGCATTCTGACAGTTGACAGCACCAATACACACTTAACTGCTATGAGATAGTAAGAGGAAGAAACCTTCAAACACGAGAAATATGGTTTTAAAATTTTGTTGTGCATTTATTTGGAATTTAAGTCTACCCAGGAGCTTTTTCTACTTCATGTTTCGCAATTTTGATTCACAGCGATAGTAATTTGTATTTACCTATTACATTCCCCATCTATCAGACCTCTATAAGAAACAGAGTAATTGATACTCTTTGAGATATGTTGTCTATTTATAATCTGTTGGAGCACCTCATACCCTCAGTTCCAGCAGTACTCACTAGTCAATGCATAAGCCACAGTTGTTGAGGGTGGTACACACCAACACATTTTTAGTAGAGAGACGACTATGGTTTGAGCTCTGTTAACACCTATATATAATTCCAAAATCAATTCCACTCAAACATAGCATGAGTCCCTTAAAGAGTACAGTTTCAGCAAAGGAAATTTAGGTTAGATATTAAGAAAAACTCTCTCACCAGGAGGATAGTAAAACACTGGAACAGACTACCCAGAGAGGTGGTGGAATCTCCATCCTTGGAAATTTTTAAGACACAGCTAGACAAAGCCTTGGCTGGGATGATCTAGTTGAGAATGGTCCTGCTTTGAGCCAGGGGTTGAACTAGATGACCTCCTGAGGTCCCTTCCAACCCTCATTTTCTATTATTATATAATTCTATGACTTCTTCATGCCTAAATAAAAAGATAATGACTTAACAACATCCACAGTATGAGCTTGTCTTTCCATATCATTTGGATAAGACTTCAGAAAGAACACAGGCAAGTGTGCAGCCTCAGTCTGGTTAATACAGAAATCAAAATATATTTTGGAACAAAATGAGGAGCAAATCTGAATGAGTCCATTACCTCTATGAAAAACCATACAAGGATCATTAAGGTTTGATTCTGTCTCACCCTCTGGGCAGAGGTAATGAAAACTAAGAACACTGTTTTTATGCAGCAGTGTAACTGGAGAGATACAGGAGAAACAGGGGCAACAGCCCCAGGTGCTACATCTGTGGCAGGGTGCAGAAGCAGATGACCATACTGGTACTGTCAGTGCCATGGCAGTTGGCACTGCCCCTGTGTTGTGGATATCCCAGACACAAAACTGCCCTGCTACACCTCTTTACATAGAATGATGCCTAAAGGAACAAGTGACTAATAGTTTCAAAGGAGATTTCATCAACTCAGTTACAACCATAGTTCAACCCTGTGAAGGAGATGGTTCCATAAGGAATACCATCAGAAATACCTGTACTAACCTCTCTAAAAATTCTAGACACTATAAGGTGAGGGGGAAAGAAAACCTTAAACTCCTGAATATGTAGGTGATAGACAGATATGTTTAATAAATTAATCCGTATAGCTCTGATACAGTCCACTTAATTTTAATGAGTCCACTTAATATTATGGCTATCCTGGAAAGAGAACCTGGAATTATTAGAAACCAGCTGATGTGATGTCTCACTTGTGAGAGCAGGGGAGCTTCCACATAGCCAGCTTTACAGAACCCTACTCTCAGGCTCTAAATCCTGGCTCACCACTACTACCTCCTTTATAAGCCCCAAATAGTGTCCCTGAGATGTCAATGCCCCCCTTATTTCTTTTTCTGCACATATTCTATCACACGTAGTATAAACTTTGGAGAGGTCCCCTCATAGGCGCCAGGGAGCCTGTTCATCCCATTACAAAAGCATTTATTTTCTGTTCTTTTTAATCTTCACCAGACCACTAAGTTTTAATACTAGTACATTATATAGAATATTCTCTACAACTTTACTTTTCTTTGTTGGAGTCATTTTGCACATTATGGAAGTATCTCCAGCAACGTCATTGTTCAGATATTTCTGGTTCTAATAAGGATTAAATCCTCTTGTTCCCAATGAAAAATAGTAAGTTTCAAAACCAATTTTATGATGCTTAGGTTAATTTTCAGAAATGTTTTAAGTAAACCCATTCAGTAATTAAACATAAATCAGTTTTAAATTTATATCTGCAGCTATATCAGATTGTTGTAGTGCTTCTGATTTATTTTATGACAGAAAGTTGGAAAGTTTTCTAGCTAGGAGCCAAAAAACAGATTTAAATGGTTTAAGAAGAGTGGGGCAAGTTAGACGGGAAAAAGGACAGGATAAGGTGCTTTCTTCAAAAGTGCAAACTGGAAATGGGACCAAAAATGCCACGAACCAAAAAAGCCAGCGAAGAGGCTGGGGATTTATTTTTTAAAAATTTGTAACATGAGCGTTTTTTTACCTCTATTGGTTTTAATGAGTTAAAGGGTGTGTCTACATGTGCACTTAATTTGAAGAAATAAACTATGGAGGAGTTTGAGTCAGAGTAAACTACTCCTGGGTGCGGCATCTACACATGCTCCTAGGACAGCAACAATCTGGGGGGGCTCCAGTGGGGCATGACCTGGGGGGGGGGTCCCCCAGTGGCCAGATGGTGACCACTTCCACTGGTGGCACTTCCACCACCGACGTGCTGCTGCCAGAGCCAATTGGGGGCGGGGGGCACAAGCGCTCTCCGTGCCCCCCTACCAGCTGGAGCACTCGCTGTCACCAGTGCTCTCCTATGAATTTGAGCCAGGGTGGAGCAGTTTATGTCAGGGCAAGTGCTCTCCTGCTCTGTCCTGGGATCTGGGTGGTAGTGTCAGGTGGCAGAGGAGCTGGCTAGGGCAGAAGGGTGCTGAAATTGCAGAGCCATGTGGCTAGGCACCAGTCTGGCCCCCTGGCTGGGCTGACCTGTGGTCGGCATTTACATATGCGTTTAATCACAGTTAATTACTATGCCATAAAATACTGTCCCTGACAGTACTGTCTTACGGTGGTGTTAGTTAGTTTACTGTGGCCTAATACCATCACATGTATAGAAAGTAACACTTTACCCCATAGCTAATTAGTTTATTCTGCAGTAAAGCACATGTGTAGCCACAGCCACAGCAAAATAACTCTATTGCCCCTGACATACACAATTTCTGTGTGGTAACTGCAGCAAAGAGTGACCCCACTTAACTCATAGTATGTATGAGAACTCTGAAATATCACACATTTTATCAAAGAAAATGTGATCAGAAAGTAAATGATCATTAACAAAGAAAGCAGCAAAAATGGTTTCAATTTGTCAAGTAAAAATAATACACTGCTTGCTTACCATTAATATTAAGACTTGTTGACTACTTTTATTAAATTAGTGTAGTCTTATAAAAAATATAATAGTACAAACAGAACACAAATATAATAAACAGATCAGAGGAAACATTTTGACTTGCATTTATATTTAACTTCTATGGGTTTGCAATAATCAAAACACAAAATGCAAAAAAATCAGAATAGGCAATAGATCATGTCAGAATCTGAGAAATTGCCCTCTGGTGTGTTTGGTACAGGAGCATTGTGGTTAATTCTTATACTAGCCCACAAAACAGCAGTTTATTCTAATTCAAATACATTTGTTTTACAATTTTATGGTATATAAAACACAAATATTTATGTAGCATTGTTTTAGAATTAATGATATGTATATAGTAAAACCTGACTATCTTACAATAAACAGTTCAGATATTTAAGAGATTATTAGCTGCAAGAACAAATTAAAATAACAAATTCAGTTATATCTTACTGATTTTTTAAAAATAATGCAGCTCCACTTTGGATCCATTGGTCTTGGTTTTGTCCACATGGGACATCAATATTTGTCATCACCCGGTCTCTTTCAGCACTAGTGTAGACTGGCAGGGATATGCATTCCTCTGGAGAATATGGACCATACGCATCCTGTCAATAAAGCACCCTTAGTTATCAGAATCACTGCAAATATTTTTATTTTCTATCCTGCAGTAGGTAGAAATTGAAAGACAAAGGTGCCATGTTTTAAATAACACAATAATCTTTTCTATATTTTGACATATGGAATCATCTGTGCTGAGTTAAACAATAGGTAAGGGGATGACTAAGATGTTTTTGAGACATTAGCTTTATCGAATATCCCAGCATAGCTGATCCGATTGATCAGCAAAAAACATGTCATCATTGGTCCCCACAAAGGGGGTTCCCAGGGTGTTTTTAAGGTGTCACAAAAGCAACATCTGTTTCCAGCCTAAGAGCTTGGTTTGTACTGGCTGAAGTGAAGGCCCTCATTAACTTCAATAGCACTATGACTGGCCCACTGAAAAGGACAGTAATTTTGGGGAGATGGCAGTGTGCTGGAGGATATGAACTTCCACTTCACTTTGAGATGCCCACTGGTGATCAGTAGCCATCTCTTCCCAGTTCTTTTAACATGTTTCATGGATGATGTTTTTCATGGATGCTGCACACTTTAAGCAATGAGTGCTGTTCCTGTTCCTCTAATACACAGGGAGCCAGCCCAACCTTTGCAACTGACTGGCATGGTACTAAGCCTGGCATGGTACTAAGCCTGACTGGCATGATACTCAGCATTAGATGATCTCAAAGGTGATAGGCACCACTCAGAACAGAGGCTCTAGTCCTTGGTATATAATTAACCTACTCTCCCTTCCCTACTTTTTCATAGTAACATAGTTGAAAACTGAAATCAAAGGTAATCTTCAATGTAATATAGAAAACATCAAAAGCAAAATGTAAACACTTGTTACAACAATGTGAAATTTGCAAACATATTTAAAATGATTGACTATTAGTTAAAATTTACCTGGGCTGATGCCTTTATTAATCTTTATACAATACAATGCTACCTTTAAAAAACCAAACCAAACCAAACCAAACCAAACCAGACGAAACAAAATCAAACATCTTTGCAGTAATTTTGATTTGATTTGCAGCAAGTGTTGTTTGGCTGTACTATTTTCCATGTAGGTACCTAAATAGCAATTTTGTGGATTACACTCAGGCCTCAGGTTTGGACATCTGGACTGTTATTGCCGATATGATGCATGAACTTCCATTGATGTTTTATATTATTAGCAATTTTACTTAATACATAGATTACAACTGTATTGTAAATGATTGCTATGGAGGGACATGTCGGTAGGGGATTGTATGAGCTATGATTTTGTCTTTTTTTTTTTCCATCCTGACCAGCAAAACATGTTGTCCTCTGAAGAGCAAAATACTCTCTGCACTCCCAGAACAATATAGGAACTGAGAAGAACTGTGAGGCACAAGTTGCTCCTAGGCACTGCCAGTTGCGAGGTAACTGACAGCTGTATAGGGCAATAAAACATGGTATAGAAGCTCAAACTAGCTCTTAGATTTTTTGCAGCAGTTATTCCAGCATTTAAACAACGGCATTACTGATTGGTTTAACTGAATTCAATATCTGATACTATTCTAGGACTATGCAGTAATAGAATTATACTCCCTAAAGCATTTAAAATCTCATTTTATGTTCACAGAGAAATGCTAAAGAACATAGTGAACCAAATAAAACATGTAACTTGTCTATAACTTGTCTGTATAGGGACCTGGAACAAAATCCAAGATTTTTATAGCACAAATCAAAGATGCATGAGTTAGTGACGCTCCATTGTTTAGCAATTGTTTGGCAAACAAATAAATACCTCAAAACAAGAAAGGAGGCGATACGAAAACAATGACTGTTTTGTATCCTTTGTCTTATGCCTCAAGTATGTAGCCATGTTTGAAGGGCGTTGGTAATGGTACTTTTATTGTTGTAAATCAACTCCCCCCACCCACCTTTTCAATACCAGTTGAAATCCTTAAACTATTGAAGTCAATGTGAGTTTTGCCATTGACTTTAATTAGGCTGGAACTTTAAGTCTTCCTAAGTTTGTGTTATAAACATAACACTCTAACTTTCCTCTTTTGTAAATAATGTCTTTTTTGCCCCATGCATTTCTGTTTTCCATCACTACATATCTGCTTAATAGGGCATACTGCATGCAGAATATCTAGCTGTGCTCCTGATGCTTTCAGTGGCTGAAAAAGACTGGCTTCCTTTTAAAGAAAATGTTAATGCTATGCTTTGGCTGGCTGCCAGTGACTGTACAAGCTTGATATGAACTTCCCTTTACACTTCCTGAGACTAGCTGGGTCACCTCTGCTGTGTTCCCAAGCTCTGCCAACTTGGGAAGCTGCAATCTCAACAAAGACACTCTCAAAATAAGGTCTCTGAACCAATTTGGAGATGTTTGCCATTCATAGGCAATAGCTCCTTATTTTGAGAAGTCTACCAGCATGCCTTGCTGCTCAGGCTCAAGTATCATAGCAACTGCATAATGAAGGAAGACAGAAAATATGACTCATTAGAATAGTAAAGAAGTGGCACATAAACTGAATGATGGTATGCATTGGGAAGCTACCACAGTGTAGTATGTGTTACAAGAACTTGAATATAGAAAATTGCAGATATGACACATGAAAACTGTGTTTATTGGCCTAAGACTTCACTCCACAGCTGTCTTAACTTTCCTAATAACTATACCACTCTGCGGTTAAGCAGCTT